TCCATTACAAGTCTTTCACGACAACAAAAATTCAATCATCTCCCCTTTTGGATAATGGTCTAATTAAAATACACAACAACAATAAAAAAATACAAACATCAATTTTGTACTGTCCTCCTAAGTCACACTTTGTATGTGTGCATCTTAATTAAGTTAACATGTGTAAGAGCAAATTCTTAATTTCTAAAACCTTTTTGAAGGCAAATCATTATTAAATAAAAATTTTACTTGTACGTAGTCTTTGACAAATTCTAGTATTTTCGTGGCATTCATCCATCTAAACTTTTGATCCCAGCCTTCAGTTCACAAAAATTAACATATTCTTTCTAATGGAGCAGTAAAAACCTGGAGGAAACAAATTGATTTAGGTATGTATTTGATATTATTATTACTTGTTTAATATATGCTTACCAAGAATGTTTTTCATACAGATTTTAAAATTCTCCTTGCAGCTTGCCGCATAGATCTCAACTTTGATTGCAGATCTCCAGGCAATGATTCCCAACCAGCTGGGACAAAAACTAAATATACATTGACCAGCCATGATTGAACACTAAAGAGCATTATTCTGAGACCTACATGTTCATTCACCATCACATATTCACGCAACTGATAAAAAATATCCATAAATCTCTCATAAAACACAATTATTTTCCTGAACTGAGGGAAAGCAAAACTGTGCTATTATTTTACTTATCAATTTGCTCTTTTAATCTTTCAAATCATTGATGAGGCAATACCTGATAGTGTTGCTTTATTTAAACAGAAAAAGAACATCTCTCAGCTGCTATTTGTTGTCAAAACAAACCAAGCTTTTGTTCTTCAGATTTTTCACCATCATTGACAAACAATATGCAGACACAATGTTTTAGTTCACAAAATGGCTACACTGTAAAACTGGTAATGCAAAATTATCTAATACTTCCATAAAAGGCAACTTATAGCAAAAGATTCCAAGTCAATTTCAGTCACAAGTTTAATTAATTTTCAATTCATATTGTGTTCAACCATCTGCCAAGTGGAGACTTTGGAATAGATTTTTGTCACCAAACAGACACTAACAGAAAGCAAAGCATACCACACTCAGTCACAGTAGCTTTTGAACTAAGAATCTGAAATAACTAAAACAAAATCATTTAAAACAATTTCAGTAAAGGTAAAGAATTCAACCCAGCCGTCAGCCGATGGTCGGCAGTCGTCTTGGCCACTGTTTATCTTTCTAACTTACAACTTATTGCATCAGTGACTTTGTTTGGACCTTATTTATGTAAATCTTCAATCTTACTAATGTGTCATGTTTTCGTTCTCAAAACGGCAGTGATTTAGATTTCTTTTCCTGCGAGGTTAGTATTATGTGTTAGATCTTACCGGCGCGTTGTGTTACGTTCTCAAAATGGCAGTGATTTAGATTTCTACCGATACATTTGATCTTACCAATGTGTTGGTAGTGTGTCAGCCGACGAGTTGATAGTGTGTCGACTGACGCATTGGTAGTGTGTTGGTGGTGTGTGGGCTGATGTGTCGGTGGGATCGGATTCTTTACCTTTACCACAATTTCCTATAACTCGGATTGATTGGCTCAAGAGGGAGCTAAAGGTACCACGAAGAGAAAATATATTGTTTCCTTAAGTAACTATGTAATGTTCAGTTCATAGACATTCCTGAAACATTGAAACACAAGACCGCACTCTTAGAAGACACTTTCAAAGTGTACTAAATGCAGAGACCCCCATACAATGAAATACATGTTCAGTAGATCCCTGCAAAGAGTTCTAATTTATGAAACCATGAATTATGATACATGTACGAGAAGAAACTTAGAGAACTTTCCAATAAAACGCTGCTGATCTTTTTGTATCTCAGTTAAGTAGTCTTTGAACATAGTTGTGTCTAAATCCTATTTGATGAAAAGAAAGCCACACAATAAATATAACCATAGCAAGTGCTCAATAAACTGGTAAGTTTTCCAAACAAAAGCATTCTAGGAAATAATTTTGGTTACTATGGCAAACAATTTTTATACCATTTAAAGCATAAATGTTTAGAGCATCTCCTATAATCCTATAATTCAAGTATGATCTAAAAACTCACACAATTTTAAAATGCAGCTTAAATTCACTCACAGATGAAATATCAAATAAAATACAATCAAACAAATTAATACATGCACAAATAATCCACTGGCAGGAGTGTTACCCTGGCTTAAAGGAAGTTAGCAACATTTTTTTCTTTTAAAATTCACCCATGAATTTATATCAAATATTTCAACCAATGCTATTAAAATCCATGCA